AATAGCTATAGAGAATATCCATTTTTTTCTCAAGCACATATGTGATATTTACAAAAATTCATCTTGCACTTGGCTGTTCTTAAAGTAGGATTTTAAAGCTACTAAGTTCATCAAGAAAAAAATGAACTCAGCTTTTTCTAGCAGGGTCTCAAAATTTCTGTAAAGTCCTCTCTAACCCTGGGAGAGACTGCTCATGGGACTTTTTTGGGGGCAAATAAGCAGATTTGGCAGCACCAAGGCACTAGGTATAGAAACAAGGTAGAGCTTTGAGGATTAAACCTTATTTCACAATTGTGCCTGGGGTCAGCCCTGTGGTCTAAGTAATGCTGCACAGATGGTATGCAGCTGAGTCAACAGGGAAGGAAAGAAGAAATTAAATAGTAGGAGTGTTGTTGAACATTACAGAAAAAAACTGTTTTACAAAGTAAACACTAATTCCAAACCCATACAGTAACAGCAAGAATAAAATAATCACCAACAGGGAACCCTGAGTAGGTGTATTTCCCTCGCTCTCTCCTTTTTCCAAGTACTTTTCTCATTATTTTTTATTTTACCTTCTGCAACTTCATCCAGTAACACAGTAATTTTTTTGTCTTCTAATAATCTATCTTTCAAAAATTTCATAAAGATCCCATTTGCCAATCCAGAATGCTGGATTTCAAAAGCTTCTGCTCCTTGACACCTTGAAAACAACAAAATAAAGAAGTGAAATGAACCAGGCACAGAAAGGCAAATATAACATGTTCTCACTTACATGTGGAAGCAAAAAAAAAAAATGAACTCATAGAAGCAGGGGGACAGGGGCTGAGGAGATGTTGATTAAAGGGTACAATGTTTCAGTTAGACAGGAGGAAAAAATGGTACGTATCTAAGGTGGTAGATATGTTAATTAACTTGATTCCGTCATCCTACATGAAATACATATAGCATAGCATCACTTTGTACCCCACAAATATACAATTATAATCTGTCAATATCCAATAAAAATAATTTAAAAAAAAAGAAAATTTAAAAAAGGCAACTTGCCACATGGGACTTCTGTACACACTGTTGAGCCTCCTTCTCTCTCCGGCCCCTTGCTTGACATCCCTAATTAAAGAGTTAATCTTTAAGCAGGAGCTAAATGCCTTCAGCCTTAGTGATAAGATAGTAAGACATGAAATGCTAAAGTCAATTATTTAAAATTTTCTACCAAGAATATCAAGGAGGCAAATTTATGCCTAGATGTCTATGAATATTTCTAGGCCTTTAATCTACAATTAAAAAGAAGACATGAAAGAATAGCGGAATCTTCAACAAAATTTTCTTACGTGGCATATCCAAACACAATATTGGCAGTGACTTTTAGTGCATCCAAGATGGGAATGGTATCATCATAGTCATTTCTATTTAAAAGGGGGAAAGAGAGAAGGGCAGATACAAAGGTGAAGTTAAACAGCATTCTTAAAGAGTACAAATAATACAATGAGAAAATATAATATTATTTTAGTATATATAATTTAAAACTATAGACTCAAACTTCTTTCATCTTGTCAGCTACATATTAACCCAAAATAACCGAGGGCTCCTACACTATTAAGACAGTAGTCAGTCATATCTTTTCTTTTAGCTTCAAAACTGGAGTTGCATTTGAACTCTGGCACTGAATTTTAATTGGTAAATGCTGAGCAAGCAAAAAATAGTACATCTGGGCGGAATAGTCATTGGTTCTATTCCTTAGTAAGGCAATGGCAGACAAATGGGATCTGTGTCTTCAAACACCTACTTCAGCTAAACTTTCTGTACCTCCAAGACCAGGACTGACTAGTGACCAGATGCCCTAACTCTGCAGGTGTTGGTTTTGTTAACTCCCAAGGAAATAACTGCAGTGATTAGTACAGACATCTAAAGGCATTTCGGAGAGTTGAATCCCTGTAGTATGAGCACCCACGCCCTTTAGTTCTTCAATTGTGTTCTGTGGCAAATAGGAAAAGAGTTAATATCATCAGATATAAATGGAGTAAACATACTTTCCTCTAGTTTTATTCTTTCCGTTTCAAGGTATAATCTAAAATTCACGAACTCAGCATATCACAGGTTAGCCTTAGGGTTTAATTTGTCAAGGTTGATATTTAACTCTAATATGATTGTTTAGAAAATATTAGAAATTTTACCTTTTCCTACACATATCCAACAAGAACACATTGAGTCCAGTTTCTTTTTCTTGCATCAATTTCAGTATATTTTGTACACACAGGCAATTTTCAGACCTGTATGGATTTGGAGCATCAATAGGGACCATAAAGCTGTTCCCAAAGTTTTCATAACCATGTCCTGCATAGTATAATAACCCTGAGGAGAGAGAGAGAAAAAAGGGAAGTGTTAATTCTAAATACACTCTGAACAGATAGCATTTTTTTAAAAAAAACTATGACTTTTATTTTCTTCAAATTGACGCAAGCCAATTTAAGCAATACCCAGTTATAAAGTCAATGTTAATTTGCATTTAAAATTATTTTGTCAACAGTCTTAACTTAAATGATGCATTTAAAACCTCTAAATGCTGTCTGAAGTATATTCTAATTCATAAATGCATTAGATTTGTAATCAATGGTGTAATATGAAATGCAATTTTATCTTACAATGTATAAAAGAAGGTGGCCTAGGGCTTCTTTGACTCATCTGTCTCCTACATGAAGCTAGCAGCTTCTTCAGAACAGAGAGAGTCTTACATTTATTCATGTATCCCTGTCACAGAGCAGGGATTTCTTTATATGGTATTTTAAAGTTAACAGTAAAAGGCACTTAGGGAACCAAAAATAGCTAATCCATTGTAATTATAGCCCCAACTCTCCCAGCAGAGAATATAGCTTTGAGAACCAAAGACAACTTGCTTCACCAAATCCTAGAGGGCAGAACCCAGGTTCTGCTTTTCTTGAATTTCTATTAAAATGAGGACAATTAGTCTAACATATATAGCATTTCTGGTAAAATGAGAAAATGGATACACCCATTTCTTCACTGTGGGTTTATACTGTAGTTCATGTGTACACTGAATATAATCATGTAGGCACTGAGGGAAATGAAAAAGACAAAGTTCCTGCCCTCTAGGATCTTGCAAACTAGTTGGAGATTCAGCCATGCTCATGTTATTAATGAACAATGAAAGTCAGCATATAATTAAATGCCACACATCATGTTGTTGGGGTGACAATGTATGAAATGAGTGAAGTGCAGAGAGGAATGTCAGTATGAGGTAAAACCACAGGGGATGGTCTTGAGAGAATGGGTAGAATTCTGAAAGGCAGGGAGAGAAAGTGAGCGAGTCAATGTGCAAGGTACATTACGGGCAGAACAGAAACGAACAAGGCTTGGACCTGGAATGAGAGCTAGCAAAAAAGAGACTGGCCTAGCAAGGAATTAAATTATGGTTGTAAATGAAAATTAGAGTGCACAGATAGGGAGAGTTCTGAAAATCATGACGAAGGAGGTGGATCTACTTTAATAAGCAAAAAAGATGAGGTGGGTGAAAAGATAACCACACAACAGGAGAAAATATTTGCATATCAATTTATTTGATAAAGACAACTTACATCCAGAATAAATACGAAACTCTTCAGCTCATCAACAAAAAGAATAACCCAATTTTAAAATAGGCAAAGGATTTGAATAAACAATTCTCCAAAGAGGATATACGAATGGCAAATATGCACATGAAAAGATGCTTAACATCATTAGCCACTAGTGAGATGCAAATCCAAACCACAATAAGATACCTCTTCATACTTATTAGGATGGCTATAATAAAAAGGACAGACAGTAATAAATGCTGACAAGGATGTAGAGACATTGGAACCCTCATTCATTTCTGGTGGAAATGTAAAATGGTGTAAGAACTTTGAAAGTTCAAGAGTTCTTCAGAAAGTTAAATATAGGATAACCATGTGACCCAGCAATTCTACTACTGGGTATATACCCAAGGGAACTGGGAATTTACGCCCACCCAAAAATGTGTACACAAATGCACACAGCAGTATTATTCATAATATCCAAAAATGTCCATCTGCTGATGAATGGATAAACAAAATGTGGTATAATCACAATGAAATATTATCTAATGCTAAAATAATGAAGTTCTAGTACATGCTACAATATGGATGAACCCTGGAAATGTTATGCTAAGTGAGAGAAGCCAGACATAAAAGGCCACGTATTGAATGACTCTATTTATAAGAAATGTCTAGAATATGCAACTCCACAGAGACAGACAGAGAGTAGATTTGTGGTTGCCAGGGCTGGGTAAGGAGGAATGGGAGTGACTGCGAATGGATATGGGGTTTCTTTTTTTTTTTTTTTTTTGAGAAGAGTCTCACGCTTTTGCCCGGGCTAGAGTGCCATGGCGTCAGCCTAGCTCACAGCAACCTCAAACTCCTGGGCTCAAGGGATCCTTCTGCCTCAGCCTCCCAAGTAGCTGGGACTACAGGCATGCATCACCATGCCCAGCTCATTTTTTCTACATAGTTTTAGTTGTCCGATTAATTTCTTTCTATTTTTAGTAGAGACGGGGTCTCGCTCTTACTCAGGCTGGTCTCGAACTCCTGAGCTCAAACAATCCGCCCGCCTCGGCCTCCCAGAGTGCTAGGATTACAGGCGTGAGCCACCGCGCCCGGCCGGATATGGGGTTTCCTTTTGCAGTGATACAAACACTATGGAGTCAAGTAGTGGTCACTGATGCCCAACTTTGTGAATATACTGAAACCACTGAATTACCTTTTAAAGAGTAAAATTTATACTCTTCTATCAAGTATTCAAAATATGACTCTGCTTCCCACCAGTCTCTTTACTGCTTCTAGAGTGAGATAAGCTTATTTTTAACTTCCATGATTTTTTTTTCAAGTTATTATGTCTCCTTTCTATTTTCTCAAACTTTAACCAATCCTCAAAGGCTATCTCAAAAGTACAGAATCTTTGGCAAGTTATCACCTGGTCTGTAGCTTTTCTCATGCATTTCAATCTCTCCCTCCCTTGAAATGCTGCAGCGGCACTTTTTGACACTTAATCACATACTGGCTTTTACTGCCATTGTACAGTCTTACATCTACTTAGTTTTTTTGTTTTGTTTTGTTTTCTTTCTGAGATAGAATCTCACTCTGTTGCCTGGGCTAGAGTGACATCGCGTCAGCCTAGCTCACAGCAACCTCAAACTCCTGGGCTCAAGCCATCCTCCTGCCTCAGCCTCCCACGTAGCTGGGACTACAAGCACTTGCCACCAAGCCCGGCTAATTTTTTTGTTTGTATTTTTAGTTGCCTGGCTAATTTTTCTATTTTTAGTAGAGATGGGGTCTCACTCTTGCTCAGGCTGGTCTCAAACTTCTGACCTCACGTGATCCTCTTGCCTCGGCCTCCCAGAGTGCTAGGATTACAGGCGTGAGCCACCGTACCCAGCCTCTACTTAGTTTTTTGGATTAAAAAAGATCATGTTGACATTAATCTTTTACATTTGTACAGGTTGAACATCCCTTATCCAAAATGTTTGAGACAAAAAGTGTTTCGGATTTTTGAATTAGAGATAGTCAACTTGTATAACATTTTCTTGGTTTTCAAAGTACTTTGACACACACAATCTAATTTTAATCCACGTAACAATCTTTAAATGATTTCTACCCTTATTTTACAGATAAGAAAATTAAATATAAAAGATTAAATGACCTGTTTAAAACTATGTAGCCGATAGGTGTTTGGACTCCATTTTACGGCTTTTTCGTCCCTTATGTTAACGGACTATAATTTCCAGAGGAAGATGGATCACATTCTTTATTTTCTGTATCTCCCTCAGCATGCAGCATACCCCTCATCTGGATTATGGATATGATGGGAACTCAGTAAACACTTGCTGCGTTGCATTACATTAACAATGCAAACTGATCAAGACAGAGTCAGATCTGGAGTCTGACTTCTAGGAGCAATGGTACCATTTCAACAACTGGTATTACTTAGAGACAAGCGAGCAGAAAGCCAGCCTGCCTCCCTCAGGTCATGGAACACATTCTGGCTCCTGCAAGACTTGACTGGGGAGAAGCAACAGCATCAAGGACAGGCTTAGCTTCCATTCATCCAGGGAAAAGCCAAGTGTGGTTCCATGATGTCAATGCCACAAGCCCAGCCCTACAACTGCCAAAATTAAGGAACTGACACCAAAATACTTTTTCTCCTCCCCAAAATGACTTACGAAAAGGGCAAGCATTTTGTATCAAAGTCTGCAACCAAATTACATTGAAGGGGATTAAGTACTTTAATGTAAAGCAAACTAGTCCAAATCATTGTCTTTTTAAAATTCCATCTCTAGTAATACTCATTCATTTAATTAACTATCCCATTACTCAATGGGATATCTTTATAAATGTCAAAGAACTTAAATGTAGTTAGAAATATAATTCTGCAGATTAGATCTTTAAGGAATTTTATTTCTCAGGAACATGATTTCCAAGAATATAATTTGTCACAGATATTTATTTCTGTCTACAGAGAAAATAATCATTTAAATAGAAAACTTTCCCACGAGTGAATCTGCACTCCACGTAGCACATGCTCTCATTAGACCAGCAACCACCACTACCAGTGGACTTACATAGCACTCACTGTGTGCCAGGCATGGTTCCAAGAAAGCTCTTCAGTTATATTGCCTCTTATAATTCTCATAACATAGCTCATAACAAGGTAGGTGATATCATCACTCCCCTTTTACAGATATAAAAACTGAGACATTGTGAGGTTTAAAAAGCTCACCCAAATACAAATGATTAATAAGTGATATAACCAGAGTGTAGACGCAGGCCAGCTAAACTACTGTGCTATGTTATATTGTCTCTATAATCAACTACTGGCTTTTTAAAATTTTATTTCAGAATATTTCAGGGGTACAAATGTTTTGGTTACGTGGATTGCTTTTGTACTGCTTGAGTCAAAGTTGTAAATGTGCCCATCACTCAGATAGTGTACACTATACCCATTAGGTATGATTTCACCCATTCTCTCCCCTCCTCCCACCAACTACTATCTTTTTAGTTAACTTTACTCTCAGAAAATATAAAATGTCAGTGTATCAGTTTTTTATTGTTTTACTACACTATTGCTTTAAACTTCTTCCCCCTTTTTTCCCCAAAGAAACCTCTGGCAGAGCCTGATCCGTAAAAACTGATGAAAGCTGTTTTTCTATAATTGAGGCCTGAAGTAGAATGCTACCTAGTCCAAATCCCAAATCTAAAGATGAAAAAGCATTTAAATTTCTTTAATAAATTGTCAGGAAACTACAATAATAATGGCTATAATATTTTGAGCATTTTTAGTGTCCC